AGAGGAATGGCATCATGAAATCCTCCGTCCACCACAAAAATATCCTCACCTTTAATTAACCCATTTCTTGATGTCTTCTACATTGGTCTTGATTATGTGTGTTAATATTGATGCATCATTGTTTCTTCTTGAATTTTCTTTAGCGTAATACATTTATAGAGCAGGCATTCTGAGAGTGTTGCCGTAGGAATACTAGTCCTCTACCTGTGAGTGTAATCTGCCTCCACCATGCCATATATCTGCCAAATATCATTACAGCGGAATGAAATATAAGTCGTTAAAGTAAAGTTGCATATCAAAATTCAGCTCAAAATTTGAAACATTTAAAAATATGCGGAAAACCTTTAAACATTATTCAGAGTGACAGTTAAAAAACACTGTAGAGGCATAATTACAAATATTTCCACTCCGTGTATTTTTCCTAATGAAATTCATTAGAAATTCACGACATTCAAATTTCTATAACACACGTGAAACCTTGTCACCGCGCGTAAGAATACACAGTAGGGACTATATGCATTTTCTATAATCTAGGAACACCAAAATGTACAATGTGTTGATTCAATTTAATAAAAAACTATCATCCTGTTAAATTAACGTAAAATTTCTACAAATGTGCTTTTAAAATTAATGTGTCACATTTTCCCCTCGCAATGTTTGTTTGCGTTATTTAACTTTGCAACGTCATCTGACGTCACAAAGGGCTCTTACGTCTATTAACCACGTCAGTTTTGAAGGGCGCTAAATTCACATAAAACATTAACGAAATCAGTAATCATAAAGCAGGAAAATTACAGAATGTAAATATAAGCATTGAATTCATATTTTTGGCTGTCTTCGGTCCTACAACACACCTGGCCGTGCCGACAAATTTATCATACCGCGCTAACGCGGTATGTTATAAGTTATGTAACTATGACGTCAAAACATTTCGACATGCGATGCCATAATCATACTTGAATTCTAGCAAAATGAAGACAACGATGATTCTTCGGAATGTCAGTGAAAATAGTTTTTAAGGATTTCAATCCCTAATGGGACCAAATTCTCTACCCTTAAATGTCCGTCAAGTACACAATACTGTGATATTATATTACAGCATTTTATAGTGGAAAAGGATTGCCCACGAGAAATTTTCAAAAAGTTCATTAATTAAGCAGTTGTTAATTAACAAAGATTGCATTGAAGTCTATGGGGAAAAGCGTTTTTTCAAAATAAAAATTCAAATAATTGAATATCAATAAATCCGGTGGTGGAAAGATGCATTGAAATATTAAATATAGAATGACAATTGAAGACAATTTTTTTACCAGCTAAATTTTTTTAATTGATTTTTTTATTAATTAAAAAATGGGAGATAAATCTTACCAAATTTCAAGGTCATGAATTAGGACACATCCCACTAAACATACTTATAGTAATAAATGGGAAGTATGTCTAAAAAAAAAACAGAGTATTCAATGCCTACATATCTGTTCTGTTTTCAATTCCATTAAATTTCTTCCTATTAGGGATTGAAGACCTTAAAAATAATTTGTTCTAGGTCTGGATGCATTATTTATCATACAATGTGTTAAACTGCAATCATTTGTAATTATGCCTATACAGTGTTTTTTTTAAATGTCAGAATATCTGGTAAAAAAAATTATATTGCCTATGATTGTTTCCGTGTAATAAAACAGTTATGGAATGGGAACTCGGGAAATAGCAAATTTATACTTCCCCTCGGCAGTAAACTATTTCTCGAGGCGGCAATTTCCCTCGTACCCATTCCATAACTGTATAATATTTATATAATCACTCAAAGTGTATGCAGTGACACAGTTCTAACTAAACAGACTTGGTTGTCATTACATGTACGTCACAATCGTTAAATTCACGCTTTTTACATTATGACGTCACATTCTACGTAAATGAAGTGCAACCGACCGGCGTATCGTGCGATATTTTTTTTTACCGCGGACGCGCTTTGGCGTCAACTTTACAAAAGGAGGAATATCACGTCCTTTCAGCCAATGGAAATTACGAAAATAAGCCTCTTATATAATATAATGTATTATTATACTTCTGTTAAAATGTCTCTTATATGAAGTTCAGAAGGTAAAATAGCTATCTTTTATAATTCACGCATAGCAAAGCTATATCCCGGGGTATAGTTTTTGCTATTCACCCTCGGAAAATTTTCATGCAATTTTTGCCTCCCATTTTGATTTCCAGCGTTAAATCTATCGACTGGTGATGTCATAATGACTTCAGTAGCATTGTGACATCATCAGGATTTCAGATTATTCTTGCAGTATTATCTTATTCCAAAGAACTTCAAACCTCAGAAATTATATTATACATCAGTATAATAAAACGCTTATCCACTGGGTGTGAGTGGGATAGCTCTTTATCAAACCCTTGACAGAAACTATTCCCCTCGGGCAAACCCTAGGGGAATAGTTCTCTGTCGCGGGTATGATAAAAGAGCTATCCCTTTCACAACCAGTGGATAAGTGTATAATATATCATTTAGAGAATTTATATATTATGTCAATAAATTTATGAACAGCAGCAAATAATACTATTATTTATCAGTAAAGGCAAATTAATATCACCACATAATCGTGACATAGATTTTGTGTTCCACTGTTATTAATGCAAGACCGAAGTCAAGTCAACTGAGCTAGTTTTAAGCTCAACTGAGCCAAAGGCTCAAATGAGCTTTTCTGATCACAATTTGTCCGTTGTCTTGTCTGTAAACTTTTTACATTTTCGACTTCTTCTCAAGAACCGCTTGGCCAATTTAAACCAAACTTGCCACAAAGCGTCCTTGGGTGAAGGGGATTCAAGTTTGTTCAAATGAAGGGCCACGCCCTCATTCCAGGGGAGATAATTGGGAATTAATGAAAATATGGTGTTATCTTTTTAAAATCTTCTTCTCAAGAACCACTGTGCCAGGAAAGATGAAACTTTTGGGGAAACATCCTCAGGTAGTGTAGATTCAAATTTGTTCATATTATGACCCCGGGGGTTTGGGCAGGGCCAATATGGCTGACCAAAGTTTTACATAGAAATATAAAGGAAAATTCTTTAAAAATCTTCTTCTCGAGAATAACAAAGCCATAATTGATCATATTTATATCATATGGAAGCATCCTCAGGTAGTGTAGATTCAAGTTTGTTCAAATCATGACCCCCGGGAGTAGGGCAGGGCCAAAATGGGTTCCAAAGTTTTACATAGACATATAAAGGAAAATACTTTTAAAATAATCTGATCAAGAATAACAAAGCCATAGTTTATCATATTTATATGGAAGCATCCTCAGGTAGTGTAGATTCAAGTTTGTTCAAATCATGACCCCCGGGGGTAGGGCGGAGCCACAATGGCCAGTCAAAGTTTTACATAGACATATATAGGAAAAATCTTTTAAAATCATCTTATCAAGAATAGCAAATTCATGATTGGTCATGGGACTACTTTTGGATATAAACTATTTAATAATGAACCAATTTCTACTTTTCCCAGCCACAGTGCTCAGGTGAGCGATGTGGCCCATGGACCTCATGTCTTGGATTAAAAAGAAAATAACAACACTAGTGAAAGTGAAAAAAATGTCATTTATTGAAGTAAATGACGCAAAACAAAAATATAGACATATTATTAGGGGTTCAAACAATACTAGAAAAAACTTCGAAAGAATACAAAAATCTTTCGAATCATATTATGCAATCTGACGCCCTAAATTTAAATATAGGATAAAGCAGGCAATGATATCAAAACGCCAAACAAATAAGTATGAACACAAATATATAATAAAACGATGGAAGAAAGGGGGAAGGATGGAGGGTTTTTTCGACAAAAATTTGCCTTGCAAATTAGCGTGGGTTTATCCTTTGGTAAATAAAAACAATATCACCCGATTAAGAGAAGCCACGCTGATTTACTGTAAATTAAGAAAATTGTGTCATAGATTTAAAATAGGCAATTGATCCCGATCAAAATAGTTTTTAAACACCAAACAACTTCACAACAATTACCAAATAAAAACACGTCACATCAGAAATAAATTATAACAACTAAAACAATTACAGTTCCTTTAACTCTGTCACATAAAGAATATTATTATTGTAAATAATAATAAACTATTGTATCAATATAAACCAGATCAAGATAAAATATAATGTAATACCGGTATATCATTTACATGTTTCGTCAATAAATTAATGAACAACAGCAAAAATACTATTATTTATCTGTTAAGGCAAGTTAATATCACTACATAATAGTAGATTATTTATAGAGCATACACTTTGTCACAGAGAACAGGGGAGATTGAGAACACCACTTGTGAAAGGAAGCTTGGGAATCTTTGCGTTTCCACGTTTTCTGAACGTGCCCCTCCCCCCCCCCCACACACACTTCTTTTACTTCGTCACTGAACTAAATTTTATGTCATACATGGAGACGACGTAATTCCCCTTTCTAATGAAAGTAGTAACATAGAAGGAAACAATTGCTTGCAGTATAAGTATAAAAATAGCTGCCTAACAATGTGTATAAAAAACGTCTGTCACCATTCAATTTAATGGCAAAAGAGTCTTGGCGTCCCATTTGGGGTGTTATGGAAAACACAAAAAGACACTTCTTCCCAGTAAGAAAATATTTTGAATACAATGAAAAAAGAAAGAAAATCCTAAACAAAATTTTCCAGATGTTACAAGCAAATTTGTTTCTTAAAGTCATGAAAATAACAAATTAGTTTCAATAATGTAAAATATATAATCAATAATGTGGTAAAAATGAGGAAAATGTATCTATTAGATTGATAAGGATGATAATCGAAAAGGAAGATTTGAACATCTTATAAAGTCAAAAATTTCGCAATATTTTTTAGAGATTTGATACATGCATCATTTACACCTCAATATCCCCAAAAATACATTTTAATAAACACATTCATTTTTCTTTGAAGCATGTTTCCTTAAAGGAAACGTCGGGTCAAGAAAAACTTTTTGATATTTCATTCATTGAATGGTCATTAATGAATTTTATCTGATATAACCATTTGTTTTTACTTAAAAATAAAGTAATAAGACACCAAAGTTATGAGTTAACTGGCTGCTGGAGGCTGCCATGTTGAGGGATAAAGTTATCGCGCTTGCTAAATATTTCTCACAATCCTCACTTTTATGACGTATTGGGGGCACATTGGCTCTAAGTGTAATCATTATCAAGTCGGAATCAAGTAGTGAAAACGTGCCAATTAAGTGTGTGCAGTTTAATTTGGATCTGAATGTAATAAAGGAAATATAATTCACATTATTATGCTTCTAGTGTTTCAGAATTCAGGAAAATAAAAGAAGGAATTAATAATAAAAAGCCATAAACTGGTTTGGATTTAACATTAATTAAAAACTTAGCTGCAAAGGTTGTTTTATTTTACTTTATTAAAATTCAAACGTTTTAAAGTTCAAATGTGTCCAAGAAGGATGTTAATCTATTTCCTATACATAAACAATTGTTTGAATAAGCTTATTTCTGATACAAGGAATTTTATTTCTCTGCAATCATAAACACATTGACTCTAGCCATCTGGCATTTAATCTGTCTACAATACGTCAGCAGCGGCCATGATAAGGTTTTCCCCATGCTGCTCCAATTCAGCTATTAAATTCTAATTTAACTGCTGTTATCAGCAGTGCAGTGTTATAAGATGCAGGTTTTCTTTTTATATGAGAGGTACAGTTTTATATACAGAAATTTAAATTCTGACCAAACGTTCCCTTTAATTTGCAAAAATAAAGCTTGGGTCCTTAGCTTTTATTGCCCACTGGAATTTTTCTTGTTGCAATGGCTTGTATATTTTTCGGATGGGAATGTTCCATTTTAAGCACCTGTAAATACAAAGACATTTAATTCTTCGAAGTAGTAAATAGAAATCGATATCAACAAATTCAAATGTCAATACCAAATGTTTTTTTAAATAAGTATATGGATGATTGATGTGTTCAAATAATATTTTTCATGAAATATTACGTTCATATTTTAATTGATAAATCTTGTTAGAAATGTATCGTGAGGTAATGAGAAAGTCGTTGACCCGATTCAACACAATTTTAATCAATATCATTATACATATCATTAAAAACGAGAATGTTGTAAAATTGCTCACCAAGCAACTATTATCCTGGGGTCTATATAGTTTTCTTTTCCCGTGTTTACGTTTGTATGATTACACAGGGAAGCCACTATCCGGAGGGCTTTGTTAAATTCTGTAACCATCTGACTCCCTGAAATTGAGATAGCTACCTGTAAATATTACTTACTGATCCAGTTTGACTTTCTTAAAGATGCAATACCGGTATGACTGTGAAGTATAAGAGTTTAAATATTTTTTTGTGTTTGCAATGTTTTATTTGAAACGATAGTGACTTATGAGCTAAAATGACATACTTTTGTCTTTCTTTATATTTTGCAGTTCCTTCTCAAAAACAGTGCTTGCGTGGTAAGTTCGAAAAGTTTTTAGTGTTACACCTTCTATGGATTCACATAATCTTTTCATATATTTGTTTAAAGATTGTGCCTGTGAACAGATAAAACAAATATTCCTTTAAAATAGTGACACTGCATGTAGTCTTTTCTTGGGACTATATCAATTTCAAATGTCATGAAAAAAGGGAAATATCAAATGAATCTCCCGACCCTTAATTCACATTTTAAATTTTTACCTTCACTAAGTCGAATATTTTATCATCATCCTCTTTCTCTTCTGATATTTTTTTCAACTTTTCGTAGACTGTTTTTGATATTTCCACTTCTTTTTCAAAAGGAATGGACGACTTTCCCATAAATTCCAGCTTCAGACAATAGGTTTTTGCTTTCCGAAACAAGTGGATGTTAGATCTGGACAAAGTGCAACATCCTTTTGTTTCTGCACTAAATCCTGTCTTTTTCTGATATCCCGGTCGTAAGCAAAACTGAAAATGGATTTATTTCAATAATCAATTTTTTTAAAAAAAATCAAAAATGTACATGAACACATAAATCTAATAGCATGCAAGTTCTGCTTATGTATAGAATGCTATTTCAGTTTTATTCATTAAGAAAATCTTTTGTCAAAGAATCTAAAAATAACAAGTTCGATCATGTTTGAATGAGTAAGGTTATTAATTTCACCCCGTAGTTTTTAATTTTTTATTCAAATTTGCACAAAAATGGAATTTGAAGTTAAAAATATTTGTATAGATTAATAAGGCACTTAGGGCCATTGAGCAAGGAGGGATCTTTTGAGCACATCACAGGGGCCTTACAGTTTCTATATTCTCATTTTATTATTTGCATTATTTGCAGTGGGATTCGAACCCGCGAAAAGGATATACTCTTTACTACGCGCACTCTAATTTTTGTTTATATCATCTGTCCACGTTAAATATTCAAAGAATTTGAAAATAACAAGTTCGGTCATGTTTAATTATATAAATGAGTAAAGTAATTAATTTTTACCGAGTAGTTTTTGATTTTTTATTCAAATTTGCACAAAAATGGAATTTGAAGTGAAAAATATTTGTATAGATTAAAAAGGATAGTTTCAGAAGGGCATACTTTTGAACATCACAGAAGGTTTACAATTTCTTTATATTCTCAAATTTTATTATTTGCATCATTTGCGATGAAGTTAGGCCAAAAAATATATACCAATTCAGGCATCCATTTTTTGTTTGTATCATCTGTCCTTAAATATTCATGTTGTAATTAGCAAATGCATTCTTCATCTTAGAAAATTTTTATGACAAGTGTTAAAAAAATTTACAATTATTATTGATGGTTTGAATTATATTATATGCTAGTTTCATTATTTTGTTTTTTATAGCGTGTTTGCAATACTTGTTTTCATGCTAAATAAGGAAATATTGATCATTTGCTGGTGGGTGTCATTCTTTATTATTTAAAATGTTGATGTCTTTTAATAGAACTTTTTATAATTAAATGAAGGGATTTCAGTACAAATACCTACATGTAAAATATACTTGTTTTGCAATAATTGTAGTCTATTCAATGTACAATAGAAGTAAATGAGGTATTTTTAATACGAAATTTCAATCAGTTGCATTAAATATAAACACGTTAACGTTTACCCACCGTGTCAATCAAATACAAGGCCAGCGAAGACTGTAATAACTTCACATCCTCGGCATGAAAATCGGATTCATACAGGTCTCGAACACCTACAACTTCCCCGTGTAAATTTCTTGCAACTTCATATTTTCTTTTGTCCCTTTGGGCCTAAAATAAGAGATCATCTTTTTGAGTAAAATCATTTTCTTACGGATCGTGAATGAACATATTTTATTTTTTGTTATTCTGCTTTCGAAATTATCAGAAATAAAAAGTTTCGGAATATTTCTTTTATTGTATATATTTCATACAAAGATTCACCCACTTTTTGACGTGACGATGCGCTTAACTCAATGTATTTCCTTTTATCTAAGACAGGGTCGTGCCAAAATGCAAGATATAAGACCTTAAATAAAAAGAATAAAATAAATAATAATCATTAATCTTGTTGTGCAAGTTTACTGATTTTGCACAGTACATGTGCATGTAATTAGCAAACATTTCGAAAAGCATTTTTTTATTATAACAAATACATGTACAATATGTGATAAACATTAAACTTAATATTATTTTTTTACTATATTTTTTTAGGAGGGCGGGGGGGGGGTTTAAAAATTTATAATTATTCTTATCTTAAATGTCTTATGTCATCAAAATATAATTTAATAATAAAATAAAATAACTTATAACACTTTTGTATAAAGAAAAACCTATAATATCGTTCCATCGAAATACAAATAACTTTAATTACGATAAATTTAATTAATTTTTCGTAAATTTTAAATTCATCAGAATTAGCAAAACTAAAGTGACGTTTCATTAAAGATACATAACAAATACCAAACAAGATGTGTTTTTGAAACACTATGCGCCCGGCGGCAACAAAGTTAAAAAAACCTATTTTTTATTATATAGGTCACAGTCAAGGTCACAAGGTCATTTACGTTGATAAAATTTGAAAGAACTTAATTAGTTAGTAAGCATACCAAATATCAAGTCTCTATCATTGTTGAAAAGTTATGGCGAAAGTTCGAAAAAGCTATTTTAGCATGAAGGTCATAGTCAAGGTCACAAAGTCATTGACCTTGATGTCACTTGAAAAAAAAACTTAATAAAGCAATAAATAATTACACACGTTATGGCAAAAAGTCGAAAAAAGCTATTTTGGCATGAAGGTCATAGTCAAGGTCACAAGGTCATTGACCTTGATGTCATTTGAAAAAAACCATAATAAAGCAATAAATAATTACACACGTTTAAACGTGTCAGGAATCTGTGTATGCGTATCTAATCGAAAAATGTTTTCTAAAAATAGGTTCAGATATCAAACAAACAACAACCTCTGCTTAACCAGCACCTTTCCTCTTAACCTTAACAAATGTTTTCAACGGCGATTAGCGTTCTTCCAAATTAATTGTTTACCTATTCAAGCGTTATACAATCAAATTAATTGTTTACCTATTTAAGCGTTATACAATCAAATTAATGATACTATTACAGTTTCAATACCGTGTTGTCATGTTGAACTTCCTTAAATGTATGCCCTCTTGGTGGTTTACCTTCTATACCCCTGTAAATAATATAGATTCAATGATTATAAAAAAAAAATAAGGATCCGAAAGTATGCAAAATTTTATGAACACTTTGTGACATAACAATTGTATTTCATTAAAAGTGCAAGTTTATTAATCAATAATTAGCGAGACAAATATTTTAAATACTCTAAGATATAAATTTAAGGTCTCCGACCCATATTGGAACTACATGTGTTTCTACTAGATATTTTTATTTTTATTAAAAGGAGATAAACTCTTCAAGAACAGGACAAGGTCATAAAATAGGACAGTTACCACTCATAGAAAATGATACTAAAGACGAAAATTACATCCTAATATTCTTAATATCCAGTCCAAACATATTTGTTATGCAATCATTTCAATTGAATCTGAAGCTATGGTGGGTCGAATACCTTTATACATTAGTGTCAAGTATGTGTATAGGCTTTTTAGAAATCATTTGAATTGATTGTTATTTTGTAAATAACATTATTCAGAGAGTATGTGAAAAAATATATACTTACTCACTACAATTAATTGTAACCATTTCGGGGGTTATTCTGGGTTTAATCTTTCCATTTAAGGGATGATCTCCCTCCCCGACGAATACTCCAGGAGGCTCTACCATCGGATTCTTTATTTTTTCCCTCTTCCCATCAACCATGCAAAATTCATTTGCCTTCCTCATTTTTTTCAATTTCTTTCTTTGGGTCTAATTATTTAAAAGACATTTGCAAAATAATTTTAACAATTACAAATAGAATGAGTTTAATATGAATTTTAAAATAGAAGTTATATTTGATTTAATTTTTTAGGCAGATTTTTTAATCAACAAAACCTATACACATTTGTTAAATCATTGTATAAAAATACTGTAGTTCTAATTTCTATCAAAATATTCGATTAATATGCCTTCAGAAAAAGATTAACACCATGCTCCAGGGCCAAAAAAATGGACGAGCTCACTTTTTATATTTAAAATTATTTTTTGTCCCTTTTAAATTTTTCAAAAGTAGCAACACTTAATTAAGTGACTGTTCATTAAATATATATTTGCCTTCTTTCATGCCACTGACATTTATACTTGCTAGACCTACCTCTTGAAGCTTGTTCATTTGGATGTAATTTTCTATTCTGGTAAAATTACATTTCTCAATCGATTGAATCACACTTCTCTCGTTCGGCTGCATTAGCTTTGAAACAAAATTAATATAGAGTTTTATTTGCTTATTTTTACTCGCTCTTCTACACTTCATACTCATTTATAGAAAGGTTATATTGATTCAATTTTTTCCCAGAAAAGTAGCAGAAATCTTACCTCCTGCCAGTCATTCCAAAAGTTTTCATCATATCTCTTGTGATTTCTAACTTTTTGTCTATTTACAAGGTACAGACAGGCGTATTCCTCCGTCCTTTTTGTCAATTTTATCGATTTTCCTAAATTATAATTCGTTTCTCTATAATTCAGATTCTGGGGAAACTAATCCATAGAAAAAATATTTTCGTAAATACGAGCATTATGTCCTTTATTCACTTTCATGATTATGTTTTTTTAATTACATTAATTTAAAGAATATAACTCAGATTATATAATTTTAAAGAATGAAACATTTTTTTTTAAATTTGGAAGCCACCCATCAAAGACATATGATATACAACAGCAAATTATATCTAATTGATAAAAGATGACAATAACTTAAATTACTATTTCCAAAGTTTACATAAAATTTTCATTTAAAAATCTTCAGTACTCTATTTACACTTGACTAAAATATGTTTTTTTTTTAAATGAAATTAAAAACATCTAATATATCATATAGACTTTCTTATTATACTCCCCATTTTCCTATTTAGAGTAATGGCTCAAAAACACGATATTGATAAGCAACAATACAAAACTGATAAGGATTGGACTTTTGTCGAAAACTTGCCCTGTTGATTTCGATCTGTAGGAAAGTACCTTGCATGTATCTCTCTTCTTTCATGTGTTGTGAGGTGAGTCGGGTAGGGGGTTCGATTGGCTTTTACAACACACCACATTAATTATTTTAATCCATGAAGTTTAAGCTA